ATTATACTGCCATGATAAGATAATTCATTCCTATCACTCTGAAAAACAGAGAACCTTCCAGAACAATTTCCAATACAGAATTATGGATCTGCCTGGCTTTGGGGGACAGAATATAGAGGCAGCTCTTCAGTCCCCAAAGCCATCTGCCAAGGCTTAACTGCTTCTTCTTCCAGCCCCAAAGCTTCCGGCATTGTACAACCCCATTTGCCAACCTTGTATAAGTTGAGCTCCTGCCTCAGGCTTACTGGACAGACACCAAATAAACACACTGTAAGGCACACACAGCGGTTCACACAGAAACTAGTACACAGTGCATATTCATTTTATGACTAGGTCACACAAATGTTATCAAATTGAATAGCATGTTTTAATTTCTTGACACACCACCATTTGAGCATGCTGTTCTTGAGGCAAGAACAGAGGACTTGAATTCAAATTTCAATCCATTTCCCATTTTGTTCACTTTGAGTAAGTTCCTTTATGTCTGTCTAACACTCTCTTTTCTTTCTAAAACAGAGATGGCAATACCTATCGTGGGTTACCATGGAGACTAAACAAGACCTCCAGCAAACTGCAGCAGCAGCAACAGTGCCGTAATAAAAATTTCTTGAGTATCTGCCATGTCCCACTTTGGATGTTGAATGCTTCCCAAAATTCTGTACATTAAAGGCTTGGCCCCCAGGGTGGCAGCATGGGGAGCTACTCAGTGTCCTTGTGGAAGTCACTCAGTCATGGGGGTTGTCATGAGGTCACTGGGCATGTGCTCCCAAAAGGGGCTATGGAGCCCCCGTCTCCCAATGCTGCTCTGCTTCTGGCTTAAAACGTGAGCTCTTGCGGCCACATGCATTTTCACAGTTAGGTGCCAGCTCTCCCAGAGCCCCAAACTAATGGGGCTGCCTGAGTGAGGCCTGGAACCTCCAGGCCAGTGAGCCAGGAGAAGCCCCTCTCTGCTTCACAATAGCCACGACAGGTCTTTCACTATGCTGACTCTGAGCTGCCCGCCACCGTCACCGTGACAACACATCTGAGATAACTCCGGGACATAAACAGCTCATTTTGGCTTTTGGTGTCAGAGGTTTCAGCTCACAGTAAGCTGGTGGTGCTTTCAGGTCTGAGGCACGGCAGAAGGAAGCTGCTCACACCCGAGGGGCAGAGAAACAGAGAGGAAAGAGCCTGGCAAGAAGCAGCCACTGAGTAAACACAGTCCCCAAGGTCACGCCTCTTACATAGGCTCTTTCTCTTGTTTCTGTCACATCCCCATAATGTCACCCAATTATAATCCATGGATGGATCCTTCCACTGATGAAATTAGGGGCCCCATGATCCAATCACCTCCCCAAATGCCACTGGCAACCAAGCCTTCAACCCCACGAGCCTTCTGGGAGACACCGATCCAAATCATAACATTGGGTAAAAAGAAACAATACAGCCGAAAACCATGTTGAGCACTTGCTTTATTTAATTCCGCCAGTAAACTTATGAAGTAGATGCATTGTATAGCTAAGTTTGCTGGAGCCTGGAGTGGCTCAGGTAACCTGCCTAAGTACCTAATCTAGCTAACAAGGAAGATGGAGCTCAAAAATGCTCCTCCCTTTACTTATCCATGTTTCATTATGATAAAGATGTCAGCATTTATCAGCAACTACTTACTGGAGGTTCATCAGTTCCAAGTCGCCAGTAGGTTGAATTACACAGTTTTTTCACTTTCTCAGGACCCTCTATGTCATAATCTTTGGGTAAAGCTTCTCTGTCATGATGCCTAAAGAAAAAAAAATAAATGTACATTAAGGGATAAAGTTTGTCATGCATTGCCTTTGAATTTTAAAATCATCCTGCTATGACTTGTGTCTAAATGTCCCTCCCAAAACCTCATTGCAGTCAAAGGTTGGGCTTTTTCAGAGGTGGCTGAATCTAAGTGTGTGACTGACTCATGGTACAATGCTAGGAATAAGGTGCTGGAATTAAGGGTGGGTGCTTACTGAAAAAGCCCACTAATTGTCTTGGCACCACCCTAATCCCAGAAGCCTCAATACAACATAAGGGACAGAAAGAGGCTTGTCCTTTGCTTGTCGCCTGCCTGCTTGCTGTAGACTATTTCTCCTCTGTGATGTCCCTCTGTCACGTTACCCTGCCTTGGAGCCAGCCAGTTATGGACTGAAACCTCTACAAACTGTGAGCAGTGAATCTTTCCTTTCTTAACCTGGTGTGGCGCTTTGTCTAAGCAATGAAAATACTCACTAAGATACAGCCAAGGAAGGTTTACTGCATTTGTGGCGTTGCTTTCATCACAAATTTGTTGAATTGGTGAAAAATACAACATATTCTATTTCTTTTTAAGTAATGCTGAGGCCACTTTCTTTTTTTTCCCCCTGAGGCTACTTTCTAAAAGCAACTTATGTGATAAAACTAATAATATTACAGAAGTACTACTTATCCAACACAGTAATTATTCAGTAATTGCAATGAACTGATTCTCATTTAATAATATAGATTAGTCACTGACAGTAAATCTAAAATAAGACATGATAATATCTTACAAAGGCAACTTGCCACTTCAGAAATTCTCTCTACCATGAATTTTAATTAGAATTTTTTTAGAATGAGCTAGCAAAGTATTTGCTCATGTTGATTTATAACCTATGCCCCCTGCTTCTAAAGACTATCTAGGGAAAACTGACAAATATAAGATATATATATGAAAGAGAAAAACTATTCCAAATATTTTGGTGAAAAGTGTTTAAGAATTTTTTTTTAATGTATTTACTTCAGGGTCTACAGGGTCTCACTACACCAATCCAACTCTTTAGTGAGCCTCCTGTTTCCAGCCTGTCAAGTGCTGGGATTACAGGCATGGGCCACTACACGCAGTCTCAATTCTGCCCCAGGGGCTGGGCCAGCACAACACGCCCATGGATCCAACTCCCAGGCTCTGCGTCTGCTTAAACAGGCACTTTAATCCACTGAGTTATTTAGCTGGCCCTACTTAAGCTTTTAAAATAAAGAGAAAAGTCCTTCATAGACTATA